TGTGTGTGTGTGTGTGTTGGGGGGGGGGGTGGGGCCCCTCGCGCCTCTAACGAGCCCGCTCTCTCCTTTCATATCGACCGATTTTTTTTTTTTAATTTCTCTATCCTTTCCTTTATCTCGCGCTCTGTTTGCTTTTTTCATATTCATTCGTTTCTTCATTTTGTGCTCAGTTTCACGTTTTTCTCTACTTATTTCCCAAAGATAATGCTATCACAAGTTGCACTTTTTTTTTTTAGAATATATTTTTTATATTAATTTTTCGCGAGGTTATTAAATATAAATCTGTTGGTTACGTATTTGGCGGAACTCGAACGAAAAACGAAATAAGTTCACTTTCTCTTTCTCATCTGTACGCGGATGATACAGGCACGGTGCGTTCTTCGACATTTACCACCACCGGTTGAACCCGCAGCCCGGCGGCTGATAGGATTATCGCGCGGTGAACCGATGTCGAAATTATCCCGAGAGCGGCTGCCGATGCTTCTACCCGGCATCTGCTTTGATGTAGCATCATCAAACGAAGTCGGTAGCGGCCCTCGGGTTCTCGGAAGACTACCGACACGTTCGCAATTCCGCGGAGAACTTTCGGCAATTCCTGACCGATTTTTGCCCGACGCTCGTACCAGATATCGCTCCGCTTGGCGTGTCGGTGAAATAGCTCGAAACGGACGTAAGCCGCAATCGCTATTTGGAGTACCGATTTATTTTCGTAACTTCAAAAGCGAGAGAGTGGTTTTAACTACATTCACAAATCACGTATCGTAAGATCAGCCTTTGCATAAAGAGAATTCAGAAGAGAAGCGATGAGAGAGACTGTGCAAATTTTACGCGAACGAGCTATTAACGAATACAATTACTTTTGTATCTTGTCTTTTTTTAACTTGGCGATATCGCGCGTGACAAATAAGTTGCATAAACATCTTGTTACGTGTCGCGTTTCTATGCCGTGGTATAACGAACGACGGTGAAAAAGTGAATTAACTCGTTGTAGCTATGGCTGATTACGGCCGAGTTTGCAATTAGTAAATTGACTCGCGACTCCGTACACGCCACGCATTGAACGAGCGAGAGTCGATAAAATAGCCACTATAAATAACAGTTACGTGCAATGCGCGTAAATCACTTCCGTGCGGTACGCGACCGAGATGCGCGAATTAACGGTCTTTCCATCACTGCAGTCAGACAGGTTCATTAAATGTCCGTGCGTAATTAGCGACACGACTCGACGAAACTGAGAAACTGAGCTTTGCAATTTAGCAGACGTAAACGTTTTAAACCAATCACGCGCATACGATTATATGTTTTAAAAGGATCAACATTAAGCACGGAATTTTAATAGCGAATCAAATTATCCTTTATTTTCTTTCATTAATAAACCTAATTTAACATTGTCGTAAAAAAAAATTCCAGAAAAATTAATTACTCTCACCTGTGGAAGTGATTTTTTTTTCTTTTTCTACGCCTACTCTTAAATATATACTTTTGATACTAATTCCGTAAATTATTTCTCGATGGACGTTCCGAGGAACTGTCTGTGGTATGTCATTCGGCGGCATGCGCCGTCTCGATACGTAATCGTAACCTTCGCAGACGCTGCAATCTCTTACGCGTGCGTCCGTGCGTGCGTGCCGCGCTCTCTTATG